ATATATATATATATATAAAGACAAGATGATTTTATTCACTTTCACATTCTTTCACATTCAAATTCCTATCATTACCACACTAAGGAGTCAAATATCAGAATAGCCTGAAAGCACAAAGCTAATATTATGGATTTTTAAGCACAAATTAGAACTCAAGGAAGAGACAAAACATGTGCATGGATCTCTATATAGAGCTCTTAAAACTCTTGTCATTTCCAGAGACACTCTTGTCCTTGACTTCTATGCCTTAGCGCACAGGGTGCTTGTCTGGAAATGGTAGCTTTAAGTAGCTCTGTGAGGTTTTGCTGTCTACGCTCCCCTGGCAAGCAACGCACACAGGGACAGAGGAAGACAGCTCAAAGCTGGGGCCTTGTTTACAGCTGTGTGGGGAAGAAAACAGGCAGACGTAAATGAGGGTTGACGGTTTCATGAAGCACAATTGGTTGATGGCAGATTCAATGTGACTGGGCTGAACTGGGCGATGATCCGTACAGTATGCAAAATTCACTTTCTAGCTGGTCTGTGCCCACCAGCCCCTAGCAGCAAGCGGTCTTCCCCAAGCCCTTCTAGCTATGCCTTTGAATGCAACAAGAACTGAACAAGGCATTGTTGTGCTCAATTCCTTTTGACAACAATCACATTTAAAGAAAGAAAGAAAGAAAAAAAGTCATGGATGTTTTTTTGTCACCAGTTCTAAATTATTTTTTTCTTATGCTGACTGCAAAGTAAGCAATTTGTGTGTGGCATAGTGAAATGTGGAAAGTGTGACGGTTAAAGGAGGAATGTATGGATGCCTTCAGATGAACTCTGGGGCTATTGCGTTGTGCTACTACATATATACTGTATGTTGTAATATACCCAAACTCTTGGCATGCAATTTTAGTGGCATAAATTTAACACATTTATTTGCAATGTGACAAGGCAAATAATAATCAATTTAAGCCTGCACTGGGACAGTTTACATGGCTGCTGTCACTCTTCTTATGGAAGTAGCATTGCAGTTCCTACATCTAAAAATCCCATTTATGTCACAAACCTCTATGATACTTTGTTTTCCTCAGGATTGAATTGTTTATCATTTTAGAAATGCAACATCTGCATGTTCCATCCGGTTATGGCACATTAAACAACAGTCCTTGTATTACAAGGAGCATGCTGTCAATGTCAGTGGGGTCTAGGGAGCGAGATGAGAACCAGGCATTTTTCTTAGCTCTCTAGACAGAAAGGCTCACATGGCGCTGTGTGGATTAGATTTTTAGTGACAATGACCCAAAGCTTTAGGCCTGGGGTGTATGTACTGTACTCCTTCTGTGTACTTTCCCTTGTATGTTTACTGGGTTTTTTTCCCCACTGTAACTGAACTCAAGGCAAGAATGCATTTATAGTAATCAGATGACTTATTGACATTTGCAGGACATGGAGCTAATTTACTTTGCATAGTGAGAAAAATGAAACCAGAAGCAGACTGTGAGCTAGTACTGAAAACAAAATTACACAAAGAAATTAATAAAGGACTATAAAACATTTTTTTAAATCTCAAGTAATCTTGAATTTTATGACTGGTGATACATTGCAGTGTCGATGATAATATTCTAGATTATTCTGTACAGTAATTAGGGTGATAAACAAAATACATTTGTATAGCCGAAGATAAACTTAATGTGACTTTGATTTTTGCTCATCTCTTCAAAGTGCCTTTAGCCCTGCGGGCAAAAACAATAATTTGCGAAATAAAAACGTTATCCTCCTTCATTATTCTAATATGATGATTAATTACTTTAGCAAGAAAATAGTCAAGTCTAAAAACAACTGTATGTTTGAGTAGATGACTGAACAGCAATCTCAGATCTTACAGCATCAAGTAAAAATAGAATTTACTGTAGACCCTTTACAGTTATTTTCAATTTATTCATTAAGCTTTTTAGAATTGGCTGTGAGGTTCCAATAACGATCAAAATTTTAATACCATATAATAAATGCTAATGTCATGTGGCTTATTTAAATGGTTGCTTTACTTTACAACACAATATTGTTAAACTGGCCTGGTGTAATACAAAGCAAATGGTGATTGTGTGCCATTTTTTTATTAGCAAAATTACCTGATTAATTTTCCCCTAATTGTTTCAGGGAGTTTCTCAATTTGCATATGCACCCAAACAATATTTGTCTTGCAGAAAGGTGTGTGAAGTGTTTGATGAAATGGAAATAAGAAAATACAAGAAAACACAGGGAGGCAACCGCCACTAATGCCGAATCTGCCAGTCTCATACTCCACAGTATGTGAAACTCAGAAAAACTGATTGGTACCCAGTCGAAAAGAAAATGGTTTTTAAATAAGTTACAATTAGATAAGCATTAATCTCAGTGGTATAAATGAATGTCTTGCTGTAGGGCTTGTTGAATGTAAAAACAGATTTACAAAAACTCCTCTTACCAGATTGGTCTGGAAGTAGTCCTTCTCTATTTTAATTGCTCTGTCATTTAGAGTTGAAATAAGCCCCCCACTCATTCTGCCCCTTGATTTTGCCTTTGAAATTAAATATTGTATACAAATACATGCTGTTCATGGGCATGAGCATAGTTCATCATTGAAATCTGCATAAAATGATGCTTAAAAAGCTCCATACGCTTTGAGCAACAGAGCTCCTTTATATGGTGCATTCTTATGTAAACATATCCATAACGAAAACAACTACTTATGCCTTTTACCTCAGCTTTCTTATTGTTCCGCTCGTCCGCAGAAATGAGAGAAATGTGGGACTGCAGAGTTTGTTCCACATACTCTTGATTTCAAAGGAACCCATACTTGCTTTCATACATTCCTCCCTTTTCTTTCCATGCCATGCCATGCCATGTAGACCACCTACAACACTATAGTCAGAATAGTGTTGACTGAACACATGTTTAGATAGATAGATAGA